GGGCAGCTTGAGGCCATTCCCTCGGGGCCTGGCGCTGGGGCCTTGGCTCCAGAGACTCATCCCCCCTCTCTGCCCCCTCCTGTTTTGGAAACACATTTTTTATAGGAGAACCACCTCTTCTCCTCAAGGGCTCTGCTGGCTGAGGAAAACCCTCTGCCTGGGAAGGGCGAGGAATCACAAGATCCTTCTGAGTGCTGCTGAGGGTTTGCAATTCCAGCTTTCAGCTCTCACCAGGGTCTGAGCAGCCACCTTTTTCCTGGGAGTGTTTTCCCAGAGGCTGCTCCCTACCTTTTAGAACAGGGTAGGGGTGGCAACTGCAGCAAGAGAAGCCTCGGCTGCCCCCGCTCCAGCATCCTCCCACAGGACCAACCTCACGCGAGTTGTCTTCTGCCAACAACTCCTCATACTTACGAAGCTTCTTCAAAGGCCCGGACCTTCTCACATCCCTCAGGAGGTTCCCGTTTAAACATGTAGCTGTGGTTGGGTCGAGGAGAAGAAGCAAAGGCCAGGACTGGTGAAGGGCTGCCCTCCTCTAGCAGGAAAAAAAGACACTTTTTGAGAAATTTTTAAAAGAATTCAAAAGCACTAACTCAACACCAGACATGCTCTTCTAGACTCTGAGGGCTGCAGGCTACAATACCACAAAGCTTGTGGCATTTCATCTGTGTAGTTCCCAGCTCACATCCATCTTATACTGGAAACCACCCACCTGGAGGGTATTTAACGGAGCTTTAGAAGTCCACTACAGTTTAGCGAAGACCCTCTCTCCCATCTCACCTGCAGCTTCCAGCCCAGCAGGCAGACATGAGCACCGTGGTTTTTGGAGCCCTGGTCCCCTCTGTCTCCCCAACCTCCCAACCCCTCTGCTTTCGGTGTTTACCTTTCTCCTTTGGATCTGGCTGCCCCTCATCTGCCGCAGAGGAGGGCTCTTCTGCTGCCAGTCTCCCTGGGGTGTGTGGAGAAAGGTGGAGAGGCACGGAGGGGGAAGGAGAAAGAGAGAGGCTGCTACAGCTGCCACTGCTGGGCTCCAGAGTCAAGGATGCATCTCCAGAGCCTCTCTGGGCAGGCGCGGGAGCCCTGTGGCCGTCTGGGACATCCAGTATCTGGGGAAGAAGCCAAGTCTTAGAGAAGCAAGAAACCCCTGTCACAAGAGAACAGGTTTGACAGCAGTTGCAGCTCAAGGTCCAGCTACCTGGGGTGCTGGATGCAGACAGGGGCAGAGCCTCCACTGCAGGGAGTGAGGTGGCCATCGGCCCTTCCAGATTCTCAAATGTTGCTGCAGTTCCTAAGCCACCTGGGATCACTTCTGCCACATCTGCACAGGACAAAGTAGCCTCTGGATGCCAGTCTAAGTGTCTTAAAGCTGTCAGTGAGGTGTCATCTATCCCAAGATTGCTACTGGCTGATCTCTCAGAGCACCACCAAGTTTTAAGGAGGGAAGCCAGCAGCCACTTGACACAATTTAGATAGTTACACAACTGGAACTAACTAAAACGAGACACAAGAGACTGTCTCCACGGCCAAGAACAGATACGGGCAGTGTCTTCAGAGGAAAGGATTTCTGAGACCACTCAGAAGATACAGGGCAATCTCGTGGCCTTCACTTACCCGCAAAAGCTCTTCATCTCCCTGTTCCTTGACAAACGCTTCCTCCAGTTCCTGGTTTAGCCCTTCCAGGCTCCTGTGCAAGCAGGGGCTGAACCTCAGAATGGGAGATGGAGAAAGGAAGCCTGAAGGAGAGTCCTGTAACAATCCAGAAGCCAAGTTAAGAGTTATAACTGCACAAACTCAGCAGTTACATCCTGTTCCCACAGCTCTCCAGGGCTCAGCCAAAGCCTTCCAGGAGGCTGATGGGAGAAGACTGACAGCAGAGTCACTAACTGCAGGATCAAAGCACAAGGACACATCGAAGAGTTGAGAGAAGAAAAAAAAATATTCTCCCTTCTCAGGCATGAGAGCAGGAGTCTGTGAACAGCTTAAACACCTGCCCAGAGGAGTTTGCTCTCCACCTCCCTAGGACATACGGTGACAGCAGAGCAGGGGGAGATGTGAACGTACCCTGAGCGATGCAAGGACAGCATGGTCCCCCTGGAGCGGGGAGCTCTTCTCCTTTTCTTTGCCACTTCTGCCATTTAGCTTTGTTCGCTGGAGCTGTTGCTTCAGTTTGGCAATCTAGCAAATAAAGTTTCAGCTACAGAACCAGACAAGCCAACACACCTCCACCAAAAAGGATCATGCCTTGTCTCTCTCTCTGTCTCTCTCTCTCTCCTCCCCCTCTCTCCCAACCCACAAGGAAGTGCCAAAATAGAGCTGGTTTCAATCACGCAAGCAGCAGCTCCAGCCACCTCTCAAAGGATGGACCAGAAGCACTCGCAAGGCCTCGTCACAAACTCCCCTGCTGCAGCGTGGCCACCGCCCTTCCTCTAGTGGGTCTGGATTATCCTCCACCTACAGAGCGTGAGGAGCCAGGCCCTGCTGGAACCCACACTGGCCACCACACCGACGAGCAAGGTGCTGCGTTTCAGCAGAGCTACTTTACAATAGCAATAGCTGCCTGCTAGAGGAAGCCAACAAGATCAGTCTTTAGTCGAATCACAGAGTGTTAGGGATGAGAACAAGGGCTAAGGTCTCATCTTCAACAGCGTCCTGTCCTCCCACTCCCCTCCCATGCAAGCAGGAGCATCCTGTACGTGAGCGACTAACACAGATCTTGCTCGAGCATTGGGAGTGGTCTGTTTTACCTCTCTGCGGTGATCTGTGCTACCCCAAGAAGCAGAACGCTTGTGAGCACTGGAGCTGGCTTTCCCCGCTTCCGCGTCATGCCAGGACACTGGAGTCTGAAGTGATGAGAAACACGGCTGAGAATAATCACAACATTTACTGGTTTAGAGACTGGTGGTAGAATCCTAAGAATAAGCAATCAACCGCTGTCTGTTCACAGTCCTCTTCCAGTCTCCCCCCATTAATACAACGCTCAGTAATGCACATTAAGAGATAGACATCTATTTATTATTTGCCAAAATAAAGTCATTTTGGCCAGATTTCTGCCTATCAGGAAACTGGACCTCAAAGACTTACATGACAAGAGACCTGCCCAGAAGTCAGTGGCTTAATCACCACAAGTACCTGGCAAGATAAAGGGCACCAAACCATTACTCCGAAGAAAAAACCGCAACCACCCCCTGTGCTGCTTGCACAGGCTCTCGTCTGCTGAGCGGTGACGCAGGATTTCAGGCACTCATTGTACAGAGCAGCATTACCGAGAGGAAAAGCCTCACCCAACTGTGAGAACACACAACTTGCTTCTGAGACCTCAGGCTCCCGTATCGGAGTTCAAAGGCGTAGCCAAAACCAGAGGTTGGCCTGCAGACCGACTGCTGCCGGAGCGCTGGAAAACCCAGCTGCCTCTCCAGCTCACTTCCCTCCGTCTGCTGAGGGCTGGCAGTTCTCAGCTGACTCTCTTCATGCAGAAAAACAGCCTCGGCAGCGTGTTACACAGCTGTTTTCCAAGCAACAGCTACAGTTTGAATATCAATGGAAATCAGAAGGGGCTGTTAATCTGATCAGCAAAGGGTGTGAACTTCCTTCCACTGAACTCAGCCCTCTCGGCAGAGACTCCAGGATCCTAACAGTCCCAAGGCACATCATTTTCAAGACCAGCCATCATTTTTTCCCAACATCACATTTCAGTGCTGCTCAGAACGCTCACCCTGTGTCACTGCTGCCTGCCATTTCTGTGGGAGGCTTTGGATGATACTTCCCTCCTCCATCCTCAGCGACAGCCTGCCAGAAGGTGCAAGGGCCTGAGAACAGTTCCCTTCCAAGCAGCTTAACTGATCTCCCCAGAGGCTACTGCAAGAACAGCAGCTGTTTTAAACAACCCTGTTGAGTCACAGGGATGACAGAAGCCTCTTCTCTCAAAACAGGTTTTAAAGTCTATTTGAACCAAAGGAACAAGGCAAGTTACCTAGAGGTACCAGGTTTCCCTTCTGTAAAGGGATACAGGTGATTTCTAGGCCGAAATCCAACCCTCTCCTGACTGAGCAGGCTCTGAATGAAACCCCTCCTTACACACACCACTCTCTAGCAGAGCACACTGCATTCCCTACAGCTAAACCATTTGCTGTCCAGGTCTCCATTTCGCAGTGCCTGTAAGCAGCAGACATCGTGGCACAGAAGTTATTCGATTCCATTTACAGTGTTCAGTTTGATTTGAAAGAAGAAATACATTCAGGCTGAGCCACCTCCGAGGTCCCACTAAGGCTGAGGTCACAGACTGTGCCAGAGCAGAGGAACAGCCCAGTGTGATAGGAAATCCTACAGCAAAGGCCAACCTTTCAGCGCATGGCACGTCTGATCTCATTTCCTACCTCCAATATTCTCTCCTAAACAACTCAAACATCATTATTTGGCCATTATCCTAAAACAGTCTGTCATTTTATATCCCAGCAGATCACGCACATAAGAAGAGGCAAAGGTCTAAGACAACACCACAGCCCTATCCCACATTACTGCAACAGCAAGTCTGTGGGAAGCTGAACTCCAGCTGCTTAAGAACAGTCCTGCTTTGCAGGACGTGACAGAAAGTCTCCTCGTGTCACTGGGAGCCTCCTGAGCCCTGTTTGAGACAGGCTATTGCTCTGGTATCCAGAGCACTGAGCCCTGCACCAGTGCTCACAAAAATCTAGGGCCTAAAAAGGAAGAAAAGACGCTGTTTGCAATAGGAAGGCCTGAAAATGAAGAGCGCATACGCGTCACACCTCTCACAGGCAGACTGTCAAGGCAGAAGGAAATTACAGAACCTTTTGTACTAACTGCGGCAAAACCGCTTCCTCAGAAAAAGGAGAGAAAAAAAAACCTGCTTTGCACAGCAAGATAAAGCCACAAGCTCCAATCGTGTATAGTGCTGCCATCCTCACCCCCACGCTGAGCACCTGCAGTTCTATCTCTCACTTAACCACCTTATGATAGTAAATCTACAGAGCTCTGCAAAACAGCTGATCCGTAGCTGAATAAGGAGGGAATAAACATGTACTGGCTAGCAGAGAAAGTCCCAAGTTTGGTAACTATTATGCCACTCCTTCCATCCTTTCAGACTGAATCCTGGAGGTTACGATGAGGAATATTTTGTTAATACTTTTGTTAATATGTAGGGCAGTCTAGAACCCAGGACTTTATTCCTAGCTTTCAACAGACAAGCCATTTGACACAGAGAGGTGTTTGTTTGCATGTGAACAGAGATGGCTGCTCATTTCACAGGCATGTTGCAAGGTGAAATTAGCACTTGCAAGACACTTCCAGATAACTGATGAAAGACTGTGGCACATGTGGCCTATTCACTTCAGAGAGGAGCAATCAGCTCCATGCTCAGCAGAGTCTGGATTAACATAATAGTACCTTCCATTCCGGGAAGAAGGAGGTGCCCCTCTTCTCCCACCCTTTCCCCAAAAGGGCCACACGCAAGAAAAACTAATTAGCCCCAAAACATCAGGGTTAAGTGTTCCCACTATGGCTGATGAAGACAGAAAGGAAGAGTGTGCTTCCCTCACTCAGAAATAAAGCTAGACAAATTCTTTCCCTTCCTTTCCAGCATGCCCTCTGCCCTCAGCAGCACTCTTGGGCACTAGAACTGAAACAAAAGCAGGCAAGAATACTTTGGGAAAGGACAATGGAAGCTGGAATCCAATTGAGAATTTCCTGCAAACAGCCCAGTAATAAATTGTTGAACAGCAAAGATCAAACAGCAAGGTAACAGAGATTGAATGTGCTAAATAAACAACTTGTTAAGCAAACGGATGCTCTTATCCTTCTAAATTCTTCCACCTCTGCAGATAGGCAAAGGCTATTTGCTGCCATACAGTAATATTTACAGGTTGCTAAGAGTTCCTCGAGGTCTGGAGCTTTTCCATGCTACAGTGGAGAGCTGTACTGTTCCTGCTAGTGAGCCCTTCTGTGGGAGCACCCCTGACTTCTCGCAGCGTGTGGCACACAGCCCACGAGCGTTGTATAAGGACTTGGCCCAGAACTGCAAGCCAGAAAAAAAAAGTAGCAGTGAGCCAGTACTAGAGAAGCAAGCCAGAGGCCATCTGCCTCCAAACAAGGCCAAGGAAATTCTAACTCTGCACCAAAGTGGAATCAATTGAAGCTGAGAAGCAAAAGGGGAAAAAAAGCCTTCCTAGAAAGTTGCAGCTGGACGGATGGAAATTTAATGCTTTCCCTGTTCACCCCCAGTTTACAAAGCTCGTTTCAGTTTTGCAGCCCCCTCCTGGCCCAGAGACCTCAAGGCCAGTTTGCAGGCCGTTATACCTGGGTAGCTTTGTCATTCATACACAAAGTGGAAGCTCCTTCAGCTTCCCTTGGCCACTGTCCCAACAGGTAGGAGCCCACGATGGTGTCTAACGAAGAGGTGCGCCGCACACGGGGCTGCCGGGGACGGCAGATCTTCTCAACAGCAGCAGCACAGGGAACACTGGCTAGACAAAGGGAAAAAGAAAAGAAAATTAGACTTCCAAAGCCAAGATTCAGCAACAGCTATCACCACGAACAAGCCCGCATCCGTTGCAAAGATCACAAGAAGGAAACTAGCACATCCAGCTTGGAGAAACCCATTTACTTTTTGGAAACCAGAGTTCTATTGCTTCGAACACGCCCAGTGATCTCCCACTCTCCCAAGAGCAGCAGCTCTTCCCCGCCAAGGCCACGTGGCTGCTCAACCTCAGCATGGGCAGTTTTGCTGCTCCAAGCCAGCTACTGAAAACAAGCAGCAACAGACATGCCACTTAAATCGAGTGGGCCAGCAAGGGCTTGACTGCCCGATCTGCCCTCCTACTCCTACTGCAGAGCGCCATGTTCAGGCTTATCACCAAGAGATTGCTTCTCTAGAAGCAGAGATTTTATTGCAGTCCTTAAGTGGCTGCTTGAAGTCATTGATTAGACATTCCATGCAAAGTCAAGGGAGCTGCTACGCAGCTGAGTGAAATACTCGGCCTGTCCACATTGCTTGTGCATGGACACTAGAAAAAACCCACTGTGCTGTCTGTAACGCTGTATTTCTTACCAACTGGAGCACAATGCTTAGTCAGATAGTCAGGCTCTTACCCATAGTAAGACCCAACAGCAAAAGGAATCCTACATGCCCCAGTTTCCCGCAAGGAAGCGGGCTACTGCCTGCTAGAAACTAGAAGTTTCAAGGGCAAGAGAATGTCTGTGAAGTTTTGGATCCCCCAGCTGGACTATGTGAGGACTTGATGCGTAAGTTGGTGGGTGCATTCAGCAAAGACCAGAGACGGAGGTGTGCAACCTCTTCACTAACATAACCCATCACTGGCCAATGGCATCCTGGCTTGTGTCAGCACTGGCGTGGCCAGCAGGGACAGGGAAGGGATCTGAGCCCTGGGCTCGGCACTGGTGTGGCCGCCCCTTGATGAGTGGGTTCAGTTTTGGGCCCCTCACCCCAAAAAGGCCATTGAGTGACTCGAGCGTGGCCAGAGAAGGGCAACGGAGCTGGGGCAGGGTCTGGAGCACAGGTCTGCTGGGGAGCGGCTGGGGGAACTGGGGGGGTTCAGTCTGGAGAAGAGGAGGCTGAGGGGAGACCTCCTGGCCCTCTGCAACTCCCTGCCAGGAGGGGGCAGAGAGGAGGGATGAGGCTCTGGAGCCAAGGCCCCAGTGCCAGGCCCCGAGGGAATGGCCTCAAGCTGCCCAGGGCAGGGTCAGGCTGGCTCTGAGGAAGGATTTCTGTGCAGAAGGGGCTGTTGGGCGTTGGAATGGGCTGCCCAGGGCAGGGGGGGAGTCCCCATCCCTGGGGGGGTTGAAGAGTCGGGTTGAGCCAGCGCTGAGGGATCTGAGGGAGTTGGGAATGGTCAGGGTGAGGTTCATGGTTGGGCTGGATGATCTACAAGGTCTTTTCCAACCCTGATAAGTCTGTGATTCTGTAGCAGGGCATGAGCTCAGATCCAGGAGCTCTGTGTCTGCCCAGCTTCCCTGAGATGGCCACAGCGCCTGTTCAGACATTACTTACGTAACAGTAGCTAGAAACATCGTTAGCACAAAAGCTTGGTAGACATGACAAGTTTAAGTTTGTGTGTCAGCAGTGATGCACCCCAGCACTATCCTGTCACAAGGAGGGAGAGCCAGGTGTCTCTCTTAGCAGGCTATGGCAAGGGGAGACGTACAGCACATGCTTTTCTGTGCCTTCCCCTCCATCGCACCCTGGCCAGCTCCAAACGAGTGATTAATGCGTGGCCCGCAGGCAGGGAGCACACCTGCCCTCTTCTGCAGCCCTGTCATCACCCTTGGAGCTTGAAAAAAAAAAAAAAAAAGTGTTATCTCCAAAACGAAAAAGGTAGCAAGAAAGGGGCAAGTTGAAGCCAGCAGGAAGGTTTGTTTGCATTTCGTTTTGATTAGACATGCAAATTACCCTGCACATTAGAAATGGCCCTGTGGCCTCCTGGCAAGGTATTAAGGCCATGCACAGCTCTCTGCTCCAGGTGCTTTGTGTACAGATGTTCTCTTTCCTCCCCAAAATGAGGGCATGGCAGGCAGGCAGCGAGTTAACCACACTAAAACCAGCATTAAAACTGCTATGTTGTGTTTGCCAAATACCTCTGTATACAAAGGTGCTGCGGCACCCACTGCCGAGACTGTTCCAGGGACATGGCCTGTTAAATACATCTTTTTATCAGCTAAAATACCATTTGAGCAGTGAAATTCCAGTTCTAGGTGAGAAAAAGGGTAGGAACAAAAAGCCATGTGGGAGGGCAAGAGAAGCATTAGTCCTTGCATGACAGCCACACCTCGTAAGGTCCACACTGGATTAAAGGCTCATTGTGTTGGGTCCAGCTGGCATTTGAAGGCACACTCCCTGCTCCCAACAGTTAACAGTAAGACACTAACTTTAATTTAGAAACTCGTTAGTATTTGCAGCTTCCTCTTCAGTGCCTCATTGCCCCCACAGGCTGTGTGTTACTTGCATCTCCATTACGTATGACTTCAGCTGTCTCTTCCTCTCGTGCTGCTCTGCCCAGCTAGGCTGCTGCAGAAGAACAGAATGCTACTGCAAGAGGGCAGTGCCTCTCCCACACGGCTTTGACAGCACACAGCCCCCCCCAAGTTCTCCAAGAGGCCCCCTTTGATATAACCACCGCATCCAGAGCCACCGGGGTCATGTCTGTACTCCAAACCTTCAACAGAGCAACAGCAAAACCAGCCTGGGAGGACCTGGAGAACAGACATGACTGAGAGCAGAGGAGACCTGGCATCCTGCATCAACTGTGGATGATAGCCGACAAACACATAAAACTATTAATGTACGAGCAGCAAGAACTGTCGTTCCTCTTCACAAAGTACAACTCTGCTACCAAACACCTCAAGTTTGTGGTTGAGCAGCACCGAGAAGCCCAAAGGGCAGGGAAGCAGATTGTCCTTCCTCACGGTGCAAAGGCTGCGTGCGCGGCGTGTGGGGCGCAAGGAGGGCGCGGGAGAGGCGCCGAGGCAGGGTGGAGCGTCCTGTTTACAGCTCCGTGCTATTATCATCCCTCCACACCGAGCCTGCACAGCTGCCACCTGGCCACCAGCTCTGGAGTTGGTCCAAGCCAGCTCCACAGCTGAGAAGTGTCAGGTTGTGGCGCTTTTACTTTTCATGTGACAGTAAAGCTGCTGCAGATAACAGAACCGTCACCGTATCTCCAGGAGCCATTTGGCTGCCTCCAATTGCTGCATGAGGCTTTCATGCAGCCACAAGTTAAGAGACTGGTGCAATGCATGCGTTGAAAAGTAGAAACTTTTCAGTCCTGGAGTTCTAGATTTGCAATGTCCCTAGTCTTTCCTAACCACATCAACATCAGTGAGCTCAGAGCTTCCTAAACAGTCTCCCTAGGCCAGCCAATCTCAGCATCTAAAAAAGAGAAGTTTTCAGTAAGATTTAAAAAATTTCCAGGATTGCTTTTCAATAAAGAATACTTACAGCTGCATCAAAAAACGGTGGCAAGCACAAAAAAAAAAGTTCCCATTACTACCTTCTTTAGAGTTGTAAAATTTTCTTCCTTTCCAGATTTCACCCCAGGGGAAACTGACCCTTTAATATCAGAAGAATGTTTAGAAATTTAGGGACATTCTGTTCAGACCCTGACATTTTTGGAATATGCCCCTGCAAAGGTCTGTCTTAAAGTGATGAAGCATAACAGTCCATGTTTAAATATAATCAGCTTTCAAGTTAACCACGGAATGACAGGCTGTCTGAAGCTCCACCACACAGGGAAGCTTTTCCCCTCATTCTCCAATATCAGGCCGTACCTAAGAGCTTTGGATGCAGTTTTCAGTTTTTTGGCTCAAATAAGAGCTGTAAGCTTTCAAGAATTTGCCAGAAGAGTTTAGCGAAGATGGAGCATAAGTAACTCTGTCAATAGCTTACGCAAGTATCTTCCATCCCAGTGTAACAGAAATTACTGCCAATTATTTAAATTCTATATCAGCTTCCCCTATCTACACCTTTTAATGCTCTGCACAACACATCATCTTATTCAGATGATGCTCCCGATTTGGGGGATGGGGGCAGTAACATAAATGCCTACATTTAATTTCTCAGGGGCCTGTCAAACCACAGCAGGACCCTGTGGCACAAACATCTCCCTCAGACAAAATATTCACACGAAACCAGGCTGCTGGATGTGTATCAGTGTCCCCTACTGTACCCCACCACTGCTTCCTTGATCTTTAACATCTTCTTAGACAATCTAGCTGGGAAATCTCTACATGAAACTTTTTTTTTTGCACAACAGCGACTTGGACACAGTTCAGGTGGCACAAGCAGAAGGGACACAAGGTTGGCATTGCTGTGGTGGCTACCAGGGCAGGAGCTCCTACAGCAGAAAGGAAATTAGCTATCCCACCATGCCAGAGCACTAGAAGAGCACCTTATGTTCACCTTAAGGACTGCACCACTTAATGAGTTACAGCTCTCACCAACAGTTTTGGTGTAGGGTTGGCCACAGCATCACCCCAAGCTCATTGGCTCCAGTCTGACAGAGCAGGAGGTGAGGCTGGTGGACAGCAAGAAACCCAGTGTCCTCTCTTCTCATCTTCAAATGCGACTGGGCAAGAAACATGCACAGGACTTCCAGAGCATGTTAAGGACAGAGATCCACAAATCACATCAGGAAATCATACCTCATCTAACCTCACTCTGCAAGACGGTATTTGATCAGAAAACCTATCTCCTGAGGACCACACCCACATTAACCAGGCATTTCCAAGTGCAGTGACAAGCAGCAGAAGTGTTAGTGAAGTAAAGATCAAAACTGAGGCTTCAATATTATAATCCATCTAAATCTCATTTCAATTTCTCTGCAGTTTCAGCATGGCAAAATCAAGTTACTTGACAGGTTGTCACCAAGATAAAAACTTCTCAGCAGCAAGCAAGCTTCAGAAATACATCCTCAGTTTTTATTTCATTATTTTTTCCCCCAGGTGAAGCAGA